CACGAACCATCCATGTCGAGTTTATCGGTCGTTCTATGCACGAGATTTGAAAAAAACGATTTATTCGGAAATATGTCGGCTTTATATATCGTTATGGAACATACAAGCGAGAAACGACATCGTGCCCACCGCCACCTTTTCTCCCCTCGCGAACGCGCGTACTTCACTACCCCCATTCGTCCCGTTCGGTTCGCATATACGCGGAGAATATTTATTTTTATTACAACCTCCTGTGCTCCTGAGTCAACAGATTTCTTGTCACCACACCGGTGCGAATCGATCCTGACGCGCTCACGTCTCTGACGCTTCCGGAAATTATAATAAATCTACAAAATTTGAGTTATTTCCTTCATTCTCTTCCGTTATTTCACGACTTTCATGTAGGTGGAACATATATTCTTACAAATTTTATGAGTAGATTGGATTCAATATTCACTTTTCATAAAATATATTCCGTTCTCTGTGTCTAATATCAAAGATTCGTGCACTTTAGATTTAATAAAATATTTATTATATTATTGTCTATATTATATATAAAGAGAGTAATAGCATATATAAAAAATATAAGTATTTTTTAATAATTCTTTTACAATTTAATATTATCAAATCTAAAAAATTTAAGTACATTATTAGAAATCTATAACTTTTCTATAAAATGAAAAATATGATACTTTAATTTGCACGAAATAATTAACAATCTAATAACCAATATAACATATGTTTCTGAATATAATTTGCATATCTAAAAAGTCCCCAAATAAACTATGAAAAAAGCTATAAATTCTTTATAGAATAAGAAATAATTCTCTCTAATAATCTCTAAATAATCGAAAAATCCAATAAGTTCAGTCATGAATAACTTAAGTTTCCGAATAATAATTCGACGAGCAATTTTACATCATTCTCTAAAACGTCCATTTAAGTTCTTGCGTGCTGGCATTATATCGCTTTAATGTTTTCGAGAAGGCGTCCCTTGCGAAGTTGTCGGACCACTAGCGGGTCCAGTAAATCTTACCTCTCCCCCGCCCCTCCTGCCGAGGAGCCGAGCCACCCCCGAAACCACCCCCGGCCGCCTAGCCATTCTTATTCCCTCGTTACTCGCAGCTTCGCTCGAGGCGGTTCTCTCCTTATTATATCGTCTTTCCACGCCATAAAATCGGAAAAGAATTTCGCCCCCAAGACAATAGAAACTAATAAATTTGATTACTGATTATATCCGCGAATTTTCGAGAGTAGGTGCGACCCCTAATGCACGCCGAATCCACTCTATCGTCTTCACAAACCTCCCCCATGCGCTCTCTCTCTTTCTCTCTCTTTCTCTCTCTCTCTACCTTTAAACTTTATTTTCTGATTAACATTTTTTCTGTGCGATATAATACGTACTTTATGACAGCAAATGTAATGATGATAATATGCAGTTATTACTTGTCGAAAAAAATAATCTGTTTAATATAGAGATATTAAAAAAGAATATATTACTTGGCTCGCTTTTCAATATAGCAATAAATGGCATCAAAACGTAGAGAATAAAATTGTAATAATATTATTACAACATGATATAATATCATTTTGTTGCAATATTTCTTTACAATTATATCTAGCAAATTTAATAAAGTATTTTAAATTAAATCTCAAATAATCTTAATAAATTAATCAAACAGAAAACTAAATTTGTATATTTGCGTTATATGTAATAATAATAGACAATGTAATATCATTATAGATAGTACGATTTAAGAATTGCTATGTTGGATATTTCGTGTTATCGCCCAGGCCGACGGTAACGTCTTACGCTACCTTATATATTTACTCAGGGGAGATAGGTATTTTTCGGGAATACTGGAAAACGAAAGCGGCAGTAACGCTATCGTCGAAGTTAGATAACGGTCGAAGAGAAATCGTAACAGGAGGATTGGAGGGATGGGTTTTTGGGGTGTGCACAGTTTAAACTTTCCGCGACCCTAAATCTCCGGGACCCGGCTTATGCTTCGTAATATCATAATATCGTAATATCGCGAGAGCGGTTTGGTATAATTAAAGTGGAAGTGTCTTTAAAATAGCCGCAGGTGATTGCGGTAAGAAGCTGCCCCACAATCTTTCCACCGTTTTACGCTCCTTCCACTTTGCAAGCGCCAACAATAACTAATGTAGAAACCGCCTATAATGTGTACGAACCTTTCCTTACAAGAACATGATAAAGATTCAAGCAAATTTGTTAGATTTAAAATTTTGGATCTTCAAAATTACTATTAAACAAATTTTAATCAGATTGGGTATTTTAATTTGATTTTTTGACGCACTTGATTTCTTTACGCACGTATTTTTGTTAATAAAAATATATTAAAAAGAGAATTATGTATACATTTTTTTTTATATTGATTGCAATATTTAACATATATATTTTATATAAAATTTTTAATTGTAAAAAAATATCTGCTAATAATATATCACGTACATTAATTATATCTTACCTTTCATTGTATTGTATTCACATAATGTCCATAACCACATATCATTAAATCATATTGTTTCTGACTGTGTAATATACCATATACCATATTACCTGCAATAGTATTACATATGTAAACAATGTCTCATGAGCGGCAAATATGTTGCTTGTCAGCTACATATATTTAATCTGACATATATCATACTCTCCTATACTCTCCGTTTTTTTTCTGACTTTACTGGTAGGCAACATTTACAAACAAGATTTAAAAGCCGATTTTTACATCCCTTTTTTATCCGCTCATTCAACATGGCAATGAAATTAATCAATATCTCATCAGTACACCCAAAAAATATTATGATACTCTCAATATATATGTATATATAATAATATATATGTATATATAATAAATTAATATATTTGTATATAATGTATATATTAGGATATATAAAGAAGTATAAATTGTAAAATAATTTTATAAATTGAAATCTTGAGAGATAATTTTTTTTTACCATGATAATATTAGCAAATTCATATTATATGTCTAAATAATAGAAACCTAATTTACCATATTATCGTGACTATATTACCGACATACATTGGAGCATCTATAAGATTTAATGTTACCAAGCGCCGCAAAATCAAAAGTGGCGCGACGTTCGCTTAACTGTTAATCGCTCAATTCAAATATTAGAGAAAAGTAGAATCGAAATAACTAATTTCAGAATGACAAAATGTATATATATACAATGTATATACATAAATGTATGTAAATACTTGGTGATGATCATGCATCAGCTCACCTTTCGCAGCACTTTGGGGGGAAGATGACGCCGGACATACCGAGACGATTTTGACCGAGCCCCGCCGACGCACAAAAGCAAATCATCGATACTGAAATCACAATAATAACGTACAATATACGATTGCACGCGATATATTCAACACTTTCAACTACGACAAATGTCCGAGAAGATTCGCTCGCGAAAATTTGTTACGATATGCACTTTTAGATGGTAATAATCACAACAAATATACGGAGCACTTCGAATACGACTGAGACCGTCCCGGCGCGTTTCACGAATGATCGAATGATGACGTCACTCGAGAGACTCTCGCAATATCGCAAGATGGCTGCCGAATTGCCGCGCTATTCAAATATTAGAGAAAGTATAATCGATATAACTATTTCAGAATGACAAAATGTATATGTATTATAATGTATATATATAAATATTTGTACATACCTGGCGATAATTATGCACCAACTCAGCTTTCGTTGCATTTTGACGGGAAGATGACATCAAATCGGGACGATTTTTTGATCGAACCTCAACGCGCAAAAGCAAATTGTCGACACTGAAATCACGATATTAACGTATAATATACGATTACACGCGATATATTCAATAGCTTCAACTACGGTGAATGCCCGACAAAGATACACTCGCGAAAATTTGTTACAATAATATGCACTTTTACAGTAACCCAGACAGCATATATATGCCCTTAAAAGACGATTATATGTTTAAAAGACGACTTTAAGATGTCTTAGCGTCCTTTAAACATCTTTAAGGTGTCTTTTGATCTTGTGCTGTCTGGGTAATAATTACAAAAATATACGGAGAACTTCGAATACGACTGTCCCGGTGTTTCGCGAATGATCGAGTGATTTACGTCACTAAGATAGCTCTTGAATATCGCAACGATCAAGGCTGCAACTTCACAATAAAATCTATGGTTGCTCTTGGTATATTATAAATGCTCCGAATCAATATTGATAAATCAAAACAAAGAAATCTTTATTCCTTTTGTCTTAATTGATCGACCAAATTATTCAAAATATACTTTTATGTGTAACGCCACATAAATTGCGCTTTGCATAGCAATTAACTTTATTTGTTTTAACTATATATTTCCCGCATTTAGTATAAAATGAATGTATATTTAATTTTTAACGGGAATAAGAATTAAGACAATAAGTATAATAATTAAATAAAATGAACAGAGCAAAATAACACTTAATGCGGAAATAAAATTCGAAATATTTTAATATATATTAAACAAATATATATATAATCAATATAAATCAGATCAGAACGACGTGCAACTATATTATAAAACGACGACATATATGTACATACTTGTCGTGAATTCATTATATTTTTTCTGCATTTTATGGCAAATAACTCGAAATAACTTGAATAAATAATTCGAAATGTCGATAATTTCGGTCGATTTCAAATATATGCAGAAACAATCACCTATATCGAAATCATAATACTAAAACGGTTACACGACTATAAGTATGTTCCGCTTTAACATTATTTTCGCTTTGAAGCGCAAGATACTTCGCTCTGATTGGTCCATCAAACGCTTGAAATGAATGTTCGATGCTTTGCAAACATGATAATAATTTTTTGCAAAAATTTATTAATGCTAATTAGGTATACAGCAAAATTTAAATAAAGAAAATTGATTCTTTATTTCAATTATTTATAAAAAGGTTTGGAAAGTTTGTCTATATATATATATATAGAATTACAGTGTCAGTCATACAATTTATCACTTATAATAAATTTATCTTTTTATTGTAATTTTAACACTTTGCGGTTATCATATTAATTAGTACTGACGCAAACCACCACGTCTTATTGCTGGTTGCATCATTCTATTTGGTGGTGTTATTGATATATCCAAATAATCTCCTATTGTGAATCTGTAATTGCAAAAAAAATATTTATATGTAATCATATAGAAATATTTATAATGTGAAAAAAAATAATTCTTATTATTTAAGATTATTTACCTTGCTTGTGCAAGTGTTTTGTTGTCATCTGCACCTTTCTGTCCAGAACATGTAACACCAATCTCACGCATACGGTAGCCAGAATTGCGAAGTTCAGGAGTCACTAATGAAAAATCAAAGTATGTTCCCTTACTGCGAGCATCTGGGTTTACTTCTTTAACTAAGCCTGTAATTTCTCGCAAAGTAGCATCCATCCTTCAAACAGAAATAATTACAATATTAGGGACAAATATTTTTCAAAATGATAAGAATTAACATGAAATTAATAGCAATTACATGATTTAATTTTATAATTTCTCCAATATCACATAAATCAATATACCATGTATATATCTGCAATTCGTTTGAAGGGACATTTCCTCTGCTATATTCCATTATATTATGATGACGTCCATTATTGCAGAATACTCGTAATAAAAGTGGACATGTCTAAAATATAAACAGATACAATATCATCATGTTTATGCATAGTTATAACTAACAAAATATATATAATATATGAGACGGCAATGGAAATTTTTAGATAACACTTGTTATTGTCTTATCATGTGTATATACTTTTTCTCTATCCACTGGTTTTTCAGGAAGTTGTTTTTCATCGACCACCATTGATTCCAAAACCGATGTCATTTTTATAATTATATAACCAGAAACAACTGTAGCAATCAAAGAATCCTTTCCGACAAAATATGTCAAAAAAAGCACGATCGTTTGTCAACAGACTCGAGAAAAATAGCAGAGTTGCGCAGAGGTTATATTATAAGAGTATTCCATATGTCTTATGACAAGCTTCGTGATTCGTTTTTTGATTGGCTACTGTTGCAAGAAACCTTCGGAATCCTAGAAATTCTCTATCCAACAGCCAATCGGTACGTCCGACACACTTGTAGTATGACATATTTGATATATATACTGAAAATATTGATAGCATATAATGAATGATTGGAGATTTCCACAAAGGTCAAAATAATCACTCGATAACATATGTATACATGTAATAAAAATAAAGTAAAAATTATGAAGATTGTTTCCACATTGGAATCTGTTTCTCAAACAAAATAAAATGGAATTGTTACGTGGATAAGAATATGTTATTCAGTTTGAATGAGGAATTATACACACAAAAGTTACATAAATTGTATAAAATAACATTACGCACAAAATAATATATACATCATATATTAATCAATTACTTTACATAAAATGATCTCAAAAAGTAAATGAGATTATTTAAAAGTTACAAAATTACGAAATGTATAGGTTTGGGTATTAATAAATTTTCATTAATATGCTATTTAATTTTTATTAATCTTATTGCATCTTAATACATTGAATGTTATCCATAAAAACATGCGTATATTTTTATTATGGGATTATCATATAAATTTAACATTTTTCATAAATTTGTGTTTATACACAAAGAAAGCTTATAGAAATATATGTATATAAAATACAAATTTATATAATGTATCTTTTTAAGCGTTAATGAAATCAGCGTAATTGAAATTTAAAAAAAAACTGCTAGATAATAACTATATAGAAACTATAGAATTCCAATGATATGACAGCTGATCATCAACAATTGATCGCACGATACCACGTGTCCTCTTTCCTCTCATATAAATAATTCTCATTCTATAATTTAATAAATGACTTCTATCATATATGTATACACACGTATCATAATTTCCGTGAAGAGAAAAAGCGCGGTGCGGATGGTGGTATCGCGGGCACGTGTGTGTAAATAAAGCATGATGCGTGCAATTTATCGCACGTATATAATTATTCGTTGTGTTTTCTTTTCACGAAAGACTGACTCGCGTCGCCCCGACGGTACATCTCCTCAAAGTAGCTGAACTTAATTTGAGTTCAGTCAGTATAAGCCAGCATGCGTCGTCGATGTACGTCTCATCGGTACGCGATACGCGACGATCTCGCGTGAGCTATCATCCGGATTACTTGCACTCGGATGACCTACGAACGGCGATCCTCCACGCATTCATATGGCTGTGATAGCTAAAAATTATATTCTGGTGAGCAAAAACTCCGGTTCAGTGATCGCCCGCGTGGTCTCGATTAACCTGCTTTCACGCATATAAACAATGTCGCGATCCTATATACTCCCGATATTCCGATCACGGGATAACAAAGCATGGAACGGATTCCACGACGATAATTTATTATCGAGAGGAATCTCTTGTTCCGATCCATCATTGTTTGTCCGGTAAAACGCGAGACATTGATGTAAAATTGATTTTTAATCTATTTTTTGTACACGAATGTATTCTAGTACTATTCTTAGACATGATTCAAGCTTTAATATATATCGTCTATATTTGTAGTTAGTTAGTTTATATTTTTGTACATATGTGCCATTCTATTGCTAATGAGGCCAATAAATTTATTTTTATCCATAAAAACATGCGTATATTTTTATTATGGGATTATCATATAAATTTAACATTTTTCATAAATTTGTGTTTATACACAAAGAAAGCTTATAGAAATATATGTATATAAAATACAAATTTATATAATGTATCTTTTTAAGCGTTAATGAAATCAGCGTAATTGAAATTTAAAAAAAAACTGCTAGATAATAACTATATAGAAACTATAGAATTCCAATGATATGACAGCTGATCATCAACAATTGATCGCACGATACCACGTGTCCTCTTTCCTCTCATATAAATAATTCTCATTCTATAATTTAATAAATGACTTCTATCATATATGTATACACACGTATCATAATTTCCGTGAAGAGAAAAAGCGCGGTGCGGATGGTGGTATCGCGGGCACGTGTGTGTAAATAAAGCATGATGCGTGCAATTTATCGCACGTATATAATTATTCGTTGTGTTTTCTTTTCACGAAAGACTGACTCGCGTCGCCCCGACGGTACATCTCCTCAAAGTAGCTGAACTTAATTTGAGTTCAGTCAGTATAAGCCAGCATGCGTCGTCGATGTACGTCTCATCGGTACGCGATACGCGACGATCTCGCGTGAGCTATCATCCGGATTACTTGCACTCGGATGACCTACGAACGGCGATCCTCCTCGCATTCATATGGCTGTGATAGCTAAAAATTATATTCTGGTGAGCAAAAACTCCGGTTCAGTGATCGCCCGCGTGGTCTCGATTAACCTGCTTTCACGCATATAAACAATGTCGCGATCCTATATACTCCCGATATTCCGATCACGGGATAACAAAGCATGGAACGGATTCCACGACGATAATTTATTATCGAGAGGAATCTCTTGTTCCGATCCATCATTGTTTGTCCGGTAAAACGCGAGACATTGATGTAAAATTGATTTTTAATCTATTTTTTGTACACGAATGTATTCTAGTACTATTCTTAGACATGATTCAAGCTTCAATATATATCGTCTATATTTGTAGTTAGTTAGTTTATATTTTTGTACATATGTGCCATTCTATTGCTAATGAGGCCAATAAATTTATTTGCACTGCTATATAATTTGTTTAATTTGAAATTAAGAAGATATATCAGTTTAAATAGTATTTATTTTATTTTATCACAATAATTGTATTTTCAAATCTGAGATTTTACACATGGAAATATATACAAAAAAATTTTTTTATTTGTCAATATATTGTATATTAATGTTGGCAGGGCATGAGCATTTTGTGCAATACATAAATAACTATAAAGTAATGTGAGAAAAATGGTAAGCAATTTACCACAAGAATTCAGAAAATATCAGCGGAATAGGAATCAGTTACGTCATATATTTGAGGAGACACAACGTACATTGGAACTCATAAAGCTTGAAAACTTTTTTCCTGGAGGTAATTATTCATGCATATATTTAAAATTTAAATAAAAAATTACAAACATGCAATCATCAATTAATCTTATTTATACAAATATTTCTTACAGAGAACATTATTGAGGAATTATTGCCTCCCTTGATCTTGGATAGAGTGACACATATTCTTAATAACTCTCCAGCAATAGTCATCTTTGGGCAAGATAATAAATCCAAAGCTTCACTGGTCAATAAATTACTTTCCACTGATATTTTGCCATTGTCTAATGATTCATGGAGATGGATCAAGATCTCTTACGGTCATACGAATCATGTTAGTCTTACATTAGGTTTAGAATATGAAGTAGTTGAAACATTACGGGCCAATGAAGAATCATGGACCACACTTCCCATCGAAGATCTAGCAAAATCAATAGGTGAAGATATCAATTGTCCAACAGTACTGGAAGTGAAATTAAATCAAGCAATATTGAAAGAAGGTGTTCAAATATTTATTGTTCCAAATAATGGCGTGGTAAAAATCCTTGCTAAAGATTTACTCAAGATTTTACCTATATTTCTTTATGCTCTTGGAGAGCAACCATTGACTGAGGAAAATTTGGAAGAATTGAGAGATTTGAAAGAAACTTATCCATATAACCCAATTTTATTCATATCTTCATTAGCGAATATTTCATTGGATGGCACAGATGCGGAATTAACTGAGTCTGAGCAACATAGTCTGCAAAGTCGGACAGAAGTGCCAAGTGTTTCTACAGAATCCAAGAATAACGATAGTATTAATATTGACAAAATGAATTCACTTGGTCTAAGATGGCTAGATCAATTAAGCAGTTTAGGATTTCTAGGCATGGAAGAGTCTGTGGAAGTTCACCAATTAACGTGGCTTGTCGGCGAGCAATACGTTAATAACTCGAGCGATCTAGTGGATTCATGCAAAAAGACAGACCGCGTTTTACATTTTACATGTGGCTGCTTGCAAAGTTATCTGATTAATGCCAGCACTTATTTGAATGAAATACACACGACAAGTCTACGTAAATTTATTTTAAGTGCATTTGACATGGCACGAAAAATACAAATCACTCCTAGAAGAATACAGTACGCTCAACAAAAAGAAAATGAACTTTATGCTAATCTAATGAAGGTTGTTAATGAGCAGCAAATGGAATTAACAGAATTAATACAATGTATTATTCAGGAAATGATAGACGATATATCAAAATCTACCAGTAATTTTTCCCAATATCAAACTGTTCTTGTCGACAATAATGAACAAACAGAATGGACAGTTACTGTTCGCGTCGCGACATCGGAAGTTCAGCGATTCGTACTGGGCCGTTTGGGCGAAAAGGTCGCAAAGAAGCTCGTTAACTCGGTTAATTGTCTTCAAGAGACTTTTATCGGAACTCTTCAACGTTGCTTAATAAGTCTTGAAAAGACTTATGAACACGACAGTAGTCTGTTAGCTAGCGATGCCTTAAAACAAATACTTTCTGCAGCATACAATGTAGAATTACACAATTCGTCACCATCCTTAGTGCATTCATTCTTGGAAAGATTGAGACAGCTCTTTAAGTCCTTACCGCTACCGTGGACACCAACCCCGACTCTGAACGCTGCTTGGAGGAGGAAGATTACTATTGATATTTTAAATTCCTTATCGGCAGCAAGATTAGCAAGGGCAATTTCTACACAGTTTAGAGATAAATTAAAATCATCGCATGACGCTTTTCAGACTGCTCTAAGATCTCTGGAGAATTATTACTTGGGGAAACTAGAGAGGACCGAGGAGCAGAGGATAGCTATACGAAAATACCACGCGCCCAAACTAGCCAAACTCGCGTTAGAATCCACGTCAATGATGGACGCGATTCGTTTTGGGGTTCCCCATTATAGCAAGGAGATTGGCAGAGGACAATACGGTGTGGTGTTCGCGTGCGAAGGTTGGGGCGGAGCACCAGGACCGTGTGCGGTAAAATCTGTTGTTCCACCGGATGAAAGACATTGGAACGATCTCGCGATGGAAGTTTATTATACCAGATCGATACCGGATCACAAAAGGATAGTGAAGCTTCGCGGATCGGTCATAGATCAGTCATACGGAGGAGGATTTGGATTAGGCGCTGCAGTTCTCTTAATCACCGATCGGTTGAGCCGCGATTTGTACTGTGGTATACACGCTGGTCTTTCATGGTTGGAACGTATACAAATAGCAATAGACGTGTTAGAGGGAATACGCTATCTTCACTCGCAAGGCCTAGTTCATCGAGACATCAAATTAAAGAATGTTTTACTTGATATGGAAAACAGAGCTAAATTAACTGATCTCGGATTTTGTATTACCGAAGCTATGATGTCGGGGAGTATTGTAGGAACACCGATTCACATGGCACCGGAACTTCTGTCTGGTCATTACGATAGTAGCGTCGATGTCTATGCTTTCGGAATCTTGTTTTGGTATATATGTGCTGGGAAGGTTCGATTGCCATATGCATTTGAGCAATTTCATAACAAGGAGCAATTATGGGCTAATGTATTGAAAGGTAATGCTTTATTATATATGCAGGTTGATTTATTTCTACTTCTTCCATTAAAAATTTTATAAACACACACATTCTAATGAAAAGATTGCTACATCACAACATTATAAATTATATATTCAAAAGATTTAAATTCTTTAACTAAAAACACCGATTTTGTATTGTATTTAACATAAATAAGAACCGACATTGAAATTCCTATATTGCAAATCTCAAAATTAATTAAATACTAGCAACAAATTTAATCTTGACTCGTTAATCTTGGCTAACTTGAATACTACAGGATAATTTGATTTTAATTTATTTGTTTGTCTGAACTATATTTTGCTATTGCATATACATGTTATATAGAATGATAAGTACGTTGTTTACACATATTAGGTCTTAGGCCTGAGAGGTTACCACATTTTGACGAAGAATGTTGGACACTAATGGAACAATGCTGGTCCGGAGAGTCATCCAAACGACCATTGCTCGGTGCTATTCAACCAGTGTTAGAGTGTATCCAACAAAAAGCAGAAAGAGGCAAGTCCTTACAACTCGGCACATTGAAATTACAAGAGAGTTCATTATCTGAACAAACAAATCCTGCGCTAGCATTAGCAGAGCCTAATAACCAAAGAGGTGCTGTATTTAGTCCATTTCTTCTTAGACGAAAAACTTTTAGAACTGTGAATCCTGTCACACTACCTTTTCACACAACTAAATTTTTCCAAATGAGTATTTATTCTCATATGATTGTTCAAATGCGAGAATTTTGACCAAGAATTGAATATATTCACGCTATGTCATATTGTCTGTTAAATATAGGCTATTGATATATTTATTACTTGGAATGCTCTTGATATACGGGTCACACATTCTTATTTTCACTGATTTAACAATGGCTTTAATAGTATTTTAGTACAGTATTAAAGTGGCGAATTTTACATGTCTGAGTTGCGCCTTTTTTTTTGCACAGAACACAGCATATATTTATTCTTTTTCCTCTTTTATAAAGTCACATTGTTAACATATGCAAAATATAACACAATTTATAATGATCAAGCCGTGCTCATGAAGTCATTCCAGAGATAGTATATCAACAATAAATTTTACAGATTATATTTTAACGTTTTCATACTTTACGATCATTACATATAGAAGGTCTTTGCAAGTTTTATATTACATATATGTATATATAAACATCTTGTAAATATCTTTATTGATAGTTAACAAAATGCATGTTGTTTTTTTATATAAAAACGTTTATTGTTATAAAGTATAGTATTTTAATTGTTAAATTATTTCTTAAAACTCGCCTGATTGTGATGACTGCATGATTTTATTAAACCGGGAAATACAGATGGTTAACCATAAATGTATATATTATTGAAAAATAAATAAAGTTTCTCACTTTTATACTTGCTATTGACACATACTCATTTTGTCTATTATAAAACCTGTCGCACTTATATTATTATATTATTATTTATACATCTATAAATAATATATAGATGCTCGTATATATACTTGATTATAAAATTTATTTTATATTGCTTTCAGATACATTCTTCACAACAAAACCTACAGTTTGAAAAGATTTGGACAGATATTGATATTACCATTATCTGTGTTTCAATGGAATATAATAATAAATTACATAATATTTTTTTATTACTAAATAGTGATACCAAGTAATACAAAGATTATGTATGGAACCGTTTAATCAAAGAACACAATGTAGGTGTAAATAATCTCTATATATTTTTCTAAAAAAGGGAGGATTAATAATCTCTTAAGGTATAAGTTTTTATGTTAATTAACTTTTTCAGTAGAATAAAAAAAGTACGTATAGGAGTAATCGTAATGTACTTATAACAGTAAACATCTTTAGTAGTCATATTTTATGTCTTAAAAAAGATATGTTTATCAATATTGTTAGATATTTGAATAATTATTATTTATATATGTTGTTAATATTTATAATGATCTATAACTCTCTCTTACTTTACTTTGTTACGTTTGAAACAAAAAATTTTTTTAAGATTTGATAATAAATTCCAGTTTGTTGATAAAAGATCTATTGTGGCCGAGAAATTATGCAATCTTATCAAGCTCTTCGTCTTTCATTTATTTGACTACTTGTTGAAAATATATTTATGTTACATGAAATATAATAGAATCTATCAGAATATTTTTTCTTTTTTAAGATAAATTATAAGAGGTTTTATAATATAGAATGTGCAATTTTATTAATATTATTTTATTTTGAAGTAAAATATAAAATGAATTGACAATATAATGAATAAAAGAGATTAAATAAATGATAAAAGAGAAAATTAAAAGTAAAAATTATATTAATCAAGATTACGAAAAAATACTCTGATATATAGATAGTTGGAAGATGCAGATATAATATGTAAAATTTCCTACATGATATAATTACTAATTTCTGAGTAATTAAGTCAAGCCATATATTGTAAGTTTTAAGTTAATTATTAATCATCAATATGAATGTTATTATTTATAAATGTTATTTAAGGAATGTTACAAAAGTATTATTTTTTGTCAGAGAGGGAGAGAGAGAGAGAGAGAGAGAGAGATAAATTAAAAGACTTTCATGTATGAAAACAATTTTATTTGTAAATAGCATATTCTTTAACAAAATAATTAAATAAAATATTATTTTAACACATATATTTGCTTACAGTAACAAATCAAGATTACATTTTGCCTTTTGTAAATCATGTAGAAATTTATAAAATTGCCCTATTGTCATCTCAGTAAATACATTCTTGATTTTACCATCATTGTCAAGACGTAATTTAAGTTGCAGAAATGACTTTGCAACATTGTCGGAATCATTACTTGCTGCAGTTACTACAAAGAATAAAAACATGCATGGCATTATTATTCCTTAATGTTTAATATCACTAGCATTACACAATCATTATCAAAATCACTGTTAAAAAATAACAATATAAAAAAAGAACATTTGTGATTCATATATCGCAAACTACCTATATTATTATTATTTATTATTGAAGTTATAGCTAACATATCTAATTTCGACACAGAAAAAGTTTAGATGTTGATTAACAACATTATTTAAATATGATACTTTTTAAAATTTGTGTTGTGTGTCAATGTTAATATACACATATCGTATATAAATAATTGTATTAAATATAGTAAATAACACAATGAAAAATAGAATATCTCTTAAAGCATTTAATAGAGATTGATATATTTATTCCATGCAATATATTTAAGATTTAATGTGAGAGATACGAGTATATATACCCTCCTAAAAATACGATAAATATTAATATTGAACAATTAGAATCTCACCTCCGAATCTCCAAGATATATCAAGTATCTTACTAATACTTTTTTCCATTTTTTTTTTTTATTTTATTTCAGAGCACGAGAGTTTTATAATAAATATTTCATATGACGCATCTATTTCTTATAAAGTTATTTTGATAAGTTGAAACCAAAGTAATCATGCTCTGACATTTTCGATATAACCATATGACAATTCTCTCGCACAGCAGCGCCATCATACATCACAGCTTATCGATATACTGCCGGTAAAATCGTCATTTTAAAAATAATTCCAGCTCCCAGCAAAAGCAATTGTGATGGCGCTGCCATACGAAAAATTTAAAATTGTAACAATAACGGCAGCCGCGCTCTCCGGGTTTCTCTCTGATATAAATTAGATTTTCGCAAGTTCACGAGTCAGGTCAGTAGTAATTTTATTACACAGTCATTATTTTCACTTTACTAAAGCACTATATTGTATCGTTATACATCAAAATGAGAAGGGTTTTATTAATAATCGTGTTGATAAGTATAAAAGGGTAAGTGTCTTCTCAACACATATATAGCATTTTCGAGTGAACGGATTTTGATCCATCCCGGATCAATTAATCACTGTTATACTATAAATTCAAGTCTATTATTGACGCAGAAACGATGCAATGATTAATTAACCTTGCGTCGATCAAAATCCGTTCAATCGAAAACATTATTAAATTTTTTTGCGATCTTCTATTCTCGTCATTTTTTTTTTGTTAATTGAGATAGCAAATATCTAGTGCATCTTTGTGTTGGTGTACACTCGTATCGTTTTTAAATTTCTAAATTTCATGTAGAACACAATATTTATTACAATTATTTCAAATTAAAACTTGAAATCGACCATCTCGGGGATTTGTTATAGCACAGTCTTACGTAAGAAATTTTGTATTTTTTATCGTAAAGTTACTTCTCTTCCAAGTAGAAAGTGCACATCAAAATTGTATGTGCTTGCTACCTGAGTTAATTATATAAACATTCGCTTTTACAATTTTCGTTCTAGATTATACGGCATGCAATCGATCGTTATTCCAGATATATCTGCGGGCTGTCACTTCAAGGTAGTATCAATCCTATTTCCGTGACACGGTTTCGATTATTTGCTAAGATTAACGGATACTGTCCGTAACGTATGTAACATATGAATCGATCTCTAGAAATAAGATTTCTTATTGGAAACAAAAAAATTTTTTAAAGTGAAATTGACCTGTCAATCACAAGAATCAAAATCGTGCGAATTTGCGTTACTTTTATGCACGCTTCGAAGGCATTTCACATAGAGAGAAAGAATGTGAAGGAATTCAAATTACTATACTTCCTGTTCACGTCGTCACCTCTGAGTGGAATAGTTATGCTATGCTATTGCGCGTAGAGTAAGGAAATGAGTTTTATCGACTCTTATTTATGACTTCCATATTTTTTCTCAGTCTTTTTCTTTTATAGATTTTATAAATTTATTACTACTCAGCTTTATGTGTGAGTGTTGTACGACTTTATAAATTTTTACAAGATTTTACAAATAAGAAATAATTATAAATCCATCTCGACGATATTTCTATCTCTTTCTTTCTCTCTCTCTCTCTCTCTTTAATAAATTTGGTTATTGTTCTTTACTATCTATTTGTTTAATGTTATTAAAGATATCTCTACCATTATATTTATATTTACTATACATAGATATTTATTAAACAATATTAATAATAATAATTAAACTACACATAGATATTTATTAAACAAACTGAAAATATTTTTATAATTATGTGTGTGTTTAAGTAATACTTATGAATATTCTCAAAACTGTGGAAAGTGAAATTGACCTGTCAATCACAAGAATCAAAATCGTGCGAATTTGCGTTACTTTTATGCACGCTTCGAAGGCATTTCACATAGAGAGAAAGAATGTGAAGGAATTCAAATTACTATACTTCCTGTTCACGTCGTCACCTCTGAGTGGAATAGTTATGCTATGCTATTGCGCGTAGAGTAAGGAAATGAGTTTTATCGACTCTTATTTATGACTTCCATATTTTTTCTCAGTCTTTTTCTTTTATAGATTTTATAAATTTATTACTACTCAGCTTTATGTGTGAGTGTTGTACGACTTTATAAATTTTTACAAGATTTTACAAATAAGAAATAATTATAAATCCATCTCGACGATATTTCTATCTCTTTCTTTCTCTCTCTCTCTCTCTCTTTAATAAATTTGGTTATTGTTCTTTACTATCTATTTGTTTAATGTTATTAAAGATATCTCTACCATTATATTTATATTTACTATACATAGATATTTATTAAACAATATTAATAATAATAATTAAACTACACATAGATATTTATTAAACAAACTGAAAATATTTTTATAATTATGTGTGTGTTTAAGTAATACTTATGAATATTCTCAAAACTGTGGAATTGAAAATAAGAGAAATTATTGATCTTCAATAAAATTGTAAGCAGTCATTTTTAATGTCATAGAATAATATTGATTATACGCGATATTAGGTCTTAGATCTTGACATGAATGACAGATATTGATTTTCGATGGTACAGAACTCGATTAATTACCAATAGTACGGAAAGTGGAATTTTTAATTGCGGTAATAATAGATTTCCGAGTCGCATCGAAAATTTATTTTCATTAATTTGTATGACGTAAACCCGATTTCAAGGGTTCTATTTACCAATAGTTTAGACTCCTTTTCTTTGAATTGTAATTACATTTCTGTTGATATTTGATATCTGCAATTGATTAGTATAATTCCAATTTTAATGGTATAATTCCAATTTTAATGGCCTTCTTTGGCAAGAGAGTATTCATTTAATTTCCTTTTTAACAATAAATTTTCTTTTTAACAATAAAAACATATAAAAAACAAACATATTATGCAATGATTTTAATCCTATTCGTTTATTATGAATTTTGGTGCATATTATGTGCATGTATATTATAAGAAATTACCGATATTTTTATTATTATAATAAGAAAAACCATTTTCCATTAATATTATTAGATAATTAGCGCTTATTATGTTGCCTTTAGCACTCAACCTCATAATCTAATATCAAATCAGACGATTTCGGTTAATATTTTCCTAGGAGAGCAATCTGAAGAAGGCAATCATTACATATAGTTATGATCAGATTTAAGCTATTACGCAATATCTCGCGGCAGTATTTTAATAATGATAAGATCTAATGGTATATAATTTTAGTTTAGACATATTTTAGTTTGCGTACGATTCTAGAGATACTCACTAGCGATGGCGCATTAATTGGTAGTGAGTTACAAAGGGTCGTCATAAAGATAAAGTTTGTACACTGTCGCAAATTACTTAGCTAAGGTCTTTGTTGTGTTACTTCTGACAAACCGGAAGGAAGATACATGAAAAACTTTATTATTTCAGTTTTTCTGTGAGTTTCCAGAGTTACATACACAATGTTGTTAGTGATTTGTGTTTAAAAGAGAGAGACATTCAAAGAATAACTTTATAATAAATTAAATACATGTTATTTTACAGAAAAGTTTATTAAATGGCCGCGAAAAAGCATCTTTCTTCTCTCTCACACTCATAAATATCATTTAAATTAATGTTTATATAACATATCTCAATAATTTATAAATGTTCGATGAATTTTCATTTATGCATGTAATATATTATGTGATATTTTAAATATATTAAAAATATAATGTTACAATATATTATAAAATTATTAAATTATATTACTAAGAATTTAATTTTTTTTTAATTAATTAGCAATATTATTTAAATTATAGCAAAATGGCTGATAGATATTTGATCGAGCATTGAAGTATATAATACTTTTCTTGATTGTCAATGAATTAGAAATTTGCATCGTCAAATTTCTTTGTAGCGTAACTTTTATAGATTACCGTGGTATAAAATCATATTTCAAATGAGTTATTTTGGATTTCTTGTTTTTGTTATGCCTTAATCTATATTCAACACACTCGAAAAACTCGACTGTACTATTTTTAAAATTAGCATAAATATAATATGTATAATATGTTATAACATTTGAAAACTTTAACAGTACATAAATTATTGTAAACGATATTTTATTTTTTGCTATGCGGTTTCAATCAACCATTCACTGCGTGAGCTTTTAAAAACAATATCACAAAAAGAAATATTAATAATTAATATTAAAAATTGATATTTCAGATTATTGATGAAAACCACCAATTGATCGCAAGAAGCCTCATTGATTTTGGACCTCGACATTTCCCGCAACCTCAATACCATCATTCCTCGCGTCTCCACTGGTGAGTAAAACTTTTAAAACTCAGTCCAACAGGCTTCTGGAAGCTTGCCGAGTCTCAGTCCGCCGTTCAAAAAGAGAATGGTAGAAAGAAAGAAGCGAGCCGTCTTCAGACACCGTCTCGCATCCTCCTAGAATGTCTTTTAATATTCCGGCTTGCTGCAACAAGAAAAAAAAATCTCTAAAGGAGGAGCAAAAAAGAATTAGGTTAATGACATGCACCCTTATTCCGCTCGCGATTTATTACCGGCAATGCCGATCTTCATAGTATAATTGCAATTCCCGCGTATCGCACATGATCGAAATCCGGCATGCAAAATATTTCAAATTCTTATCAGTTGGTCGGGTTTAAAGCGACATCGTGAGTCGCGCAAAAAAGGGAAATAACCGGGCGCAGTTATCACGGGAGAAAGAGAGAGAGCCGACAGGTAACCCGGCACCAATAAATCCTTCGAGTGTGGTGCGCGTAACAAAAAGGGTACGGCAAAAAGGGAAAAGCAAAGCGCACTTTATTCCTTCCTCCCTCTATTTCTCTCTCTCTCTCTTTCTCTCTGTGTTCCACCAGCTCGGAGAGGAGGGTAACAACTTCATCCCCCTTCGCTTTCGGTTTCTCGATTGTGCGCACGAAAACTAATAAAAGGGGATGTTTATCCCGGCAGTGACCATGACTGCCGCGCAAGCCGGAAGTAAATTTGCAACGCGAGCGAGTTTATTTGTTTGGCATTAAGCCGCCATAAATTAAGGTCTGAGTACGCCTGCGTTGAGGATATGCGGGTATCGGATGTGCGCCGTTTCGCAGAGTGTAGCTTACATAAACCGCGGACATTGTTTGTGGACAATGTACTCATTTAAGCGGTGAAAAAAATTTGTACGAACGTATGATCGAAAAAACTGCCTTTTTACGTTACAACTGGCTCCAGTTTTCATATTATACGGTGTCTGTTCATTTTAATTAAGAAAAGTAAAAAAGGAATATATAATAGTTAGTAAAATTATATAATTAATTATCGTTGTATCTCATAGATCGTCCTTAAAGTAGCTGATGCAAATTCGGCACGAATTTACGGACTAATTGTATTGAATCCTTTGCAAAAGTTTTGCTCTTTCTTTTTTTAAAATTTTAAAAATAAATTTGAACATTTTTTACGATCAATATTAACATAACTAGATTCAAGAACAAATTGCATATTAGAACATGTAAAATAATTTTCTTGCATAGTCTATGAACAATATTCATATCTTAGGATATATTTTATATATACGTGGCACTGACAAGTGTGTCTCTTGTCACGCTAAAAAGTGCTGCTTTTTATTCTCGAAGAACTGATCTCGATGGCTATAATGATACATTAACCTGGAGCTTAAACTCAATTTTGACGTCACAATTTGCCGCTCATTTTACAATAGAGAGCAATTTTGTGCTCTTGCATCCCTCGAGGAACCGATTACGGCCGCGAATTTATGAGAACCGAAGTAAGGGTGAAAACGGAAAGAGGAACTTGTTGCGTTCGCAGCGTTAATTAGTTGTGACGCACTAGTAACGAGCTGCAGCAGCTTGCACATAATATTTCGTATTGCAAGGATGTGGTTTTTGTAATGATTCTTGAGAAAATGTGTTTACCGTAACGTTTTTAAAAAAATATCAAAATATAGAATAATTTATAAAATAATATTTCTCCAATTCTTAACACAGAGCTATGTATCTTTGAAACGTGTGCAATAAATATTCAGTAAATTAATTTTCAGATATTATCGTGAGAACTAGATATCATGTGGATACAATTTTTAATCGCAAAAATATTTTCTACAAGTAGAAATATAAAAAGAGGCATTATTATTTATAATTTTAGGTATTATATGTTAAAGTTATGACATTTCATATGCCGACAAACGGAAAAGAGAAAACTAAATTAAAAGTTATGATGGAGCTTCTTATCGATTAAATCTCTGTGTGAAATGATTGGTATGAATGAGTTCAGGTTTGTTTTATATAGAGCAACACTGGAAAATAGATTTTAATTTACGTTCTAGGTTAAATTCTACGTATGTACAACAGAGACGGAAGAGAAATGTGAAAAAAATAAGATTGAATGTCTCCGTCAATATTAATTTTATGTAACTGCATTCTTTGATATTTTTGTGTTCATTGAAATATCTATAGTAAAAATAGTTATATCACCGCGACTGTTTATTACGTTATACATGTATTGCATATTATTTTGACATAAAAAAATTTGCATCGAATACAAAGATGACACTAAATCATAAGTTTTTATTATAAAAGATTACGTGCTTTGCACGCAAATCTAAATTTTGATATTTTTTTAATAGAATTTTATTTTATTATTAGTTAATGTTAAAAAAAAAATATATGAAAAGATGCAGAGACAATTTTAATGAAATTTGCATCAAAGAAATTTTAAAATTTATACAGCAACATTGCGAATAATTAAATTTGCGATACATCGAGAATCGCGTGATTATCCTTAGTTTCGGGCAAAGCGCAGTATCGATTAATATATCGCCGCGTGTCGCATTATCCGGAAAATGTTCCGCAAACATTTCCGTTCATATTCTGTTACAAGATGTCTACAACATTATCTGTAACAGAGAGATGAATATCATACACCAATGATATCCGCATATTTCGTTTGCCAATAGGAATCATATTGATTGTGATGACAAGATAATAGTCAAAGTATTGTTTGAAAAGTTTATTGTTAGCAGCAAAGTATATGAAAAAAATACAATTTAATAAATTTTACTTTATCATGTTCTTTCATGTTTTTTTGATCAATAATAAGGATTAATTGATGCAATTAAGCGCAAAACCAATACACGTGGATAACGGCTATCAAAACAAAAAATAGAAACGCAATTTGCGATGTCATAACTTCAAATATTATCCATGCGAGAAAGATACCCACGCAAAAATAATTTTTAATTATGATTGAAAAAAGGGGGTTATCGATATTACAAACGAATACGTGTTTTCGTGCGGTGTATCTACAATATTATCTGTTGCGCCGGAATTACGGAACTGTCATGTCCCGTGTTTGTACCGTAAACAAAGATCGAATTGATTCAGACGAACACGTGCTGTACACGATGAAAAACAATTTAAATCTTGTTAAATATGGTACAAAGCAAAACCTGCACACCAGCAGGTGAAACTTCATTTTATTTTTTAAGTTTGATTCTTATTGTACTTTTCATCAAATCAAGTATTCAAGTATCTTATTGTACTTTTCATCAAAATTTCTAAATTTAAAAAAAAATTTACTTAAAAAAGATATAATAAAGAAGAAATATTTATTATCAATATGTATGTGTAAACACATTTATAATTTAATTAGTTGAAATATCTAGCCATTCCTTAATATTTAACTATTTGTGCTTCTTTGTTAAAGATTTTGTTAAAAACAAATTAATTCCTTAAATTAAGCAAAGAATAAAAATATAAAAAATAAATGTT